CCCTTGTGGAATAAAAAGAATGAGAATCTTGTGAAACCAAACATGCAAAAGATAGACATAAAAGATAGGCATACATACCCACTTACTGTTTAACAATGATCACCTAATTTTTTTTCAAGTATCATGGCAAGATAACTTGGTGGACATTAAATAATAGTAGGAGCTGTTAGTTTGATTACTGGTATTTTAGGAGGCTATCTTTCAGCATTATGAAGGAAGAACTTTTAGGAAAATGGCATACGTGAGTCATGGGCCCAAGCACCTTCTCCCCCTAGACCTCACTGGAGACATACTACACCGACCAATTCTTTTAGTTGTTGCCTTTTCACTCCATGCAGATGACCTGAAATCACCATGTTCACACATTCTTTCTTCATTTAGAGTACGAAATTGAGAAGGACACCACTTTCTTAGTTGTACTTTGGATTTGACTAAATACTCAGGTCAAAAGATTGAACATACTTTTTAAAGAGTGGGCAATTTTGGTAGGAGCTGCTTTCATCTGTCATGTATTGGTTTTAACCAATTTTGCTTGAGGAGGACACTTCTTTCTCCAAGGTCCAGGGACCTTTCTCTAACCCCTCCTGCCTTCTACCTTACTAAATAAATACAGAAAATATGCTTTAAGAAAATCTGGGGGCTCTTAGTTTGCCCCTCCCAAATATCAGTTGTATCTGTCACGCCTTTGACAAAAACTAGATACTAATCAATTTCAGATTGAGTTTTCACGTATCTGAAATGTCGTTACTCAGTGTTGATGGCTGAAGAGAGCCAGCTGCTTAGATACCAGATGATCTGTGACAGAATTACCACAGACATTTAGAAACTTGATCATATCTTAACCAGAGAGCATTCCTTTTTGTACTGATAGATAACAGACGAGGTTTCTAAGAGGTAGGGCCAAATTTCCATCAAGACAAAGCTTTGAATCTATCCAAAGTCCTATCAAGTAAGACCTGACAATTCTGCCTCAAAGTATACAAAAGATATTATGGAAAGATATTATGATCTGGAAAGAATGAATCAGTGGAGACCAAGAGATGGCTGCTTGGACTAACCAGGTTAGTGAGTGGCTAGTAGGATAGGAGAGTGGGCAGATAGCAGAAAAGTCAATATTAGACCACCAGTGTACAACTTCCCACTTCCCCATGCCCATCTTCCAGGCTCCTACCATCTTTGCCATTTACTCCAAACTGGAAACATTCTTCAACTCAAAGCCTGTGGGTTATCAGGAATTTCTACTAAGAATTTTAAATTGTTTAGAGAATTAAGGAGGGAAGGAATAAAAGAAGGAAGATAGATAAGGGAGGGCCAGAGGAAAGAGAAGAGAGAAGGGAGGGGAAAAAAGAGGGAGTAAGGAAGATCATGTGGTAAAATATTTTAAGAATTGTTCAGTGCAGAAGGGAATTAACATGCAGGCAGGAACTGCTATCCTTGGGGTATCTACTTTCAGGGTGGGCCAATGGCTGATGTCTTGGAGTTTGGATTTCAGGGATGTTCTTACCATTCTGAGAACTGACAGGATTGGCTTGCTGTGCCTGGACTATTCGTGCAGGGCACTTGGTTTGTGCTGGGCATCCACTTTTCTTTGGGGAATTTGGAATATCGGTGAATGCTAGATGGAAGGTGCCTATTGTACTAGCCTTTAATGAAAGCCTTGGGAACAGGGTCTCTGGTATGCTTCACTGATAGACATTTCACAGTTGGGGGAATTATGTCCTATGGACTTTACTTCCCTCACAGTTGAGGGAAGACCCTTGGGACACTTGCATCTGGTTTTCCCCAGACTTTGTCTCATACTTTCTCTTTGCTGATTTTGCTTCATATCCTTCCACTATGAATGATAAGATTCACTATAATGAATCTTAGCTGCAAGTATGAGTATATGCTGAGTCCTCTTAGTGAATCTGTAACCTTTCAGAGTTGACTATGCCTTTATCCAGTAAGAACATACTACACCTATTATTCCATATCTTGCTCTTAACGTATAAAATATTTGAAGATAGTTTGCATCAACATTCATGGATCTCAACCTTTTCCATGCCTGCATAGTATTATATATAGCTGTACCAGAATTCATATAGCCAGACCTCGATTAATGGACCTTTAGTCATTTTTAATCTTACTTTTACAAATAATGCTTATATGTGCAACTTTTTATACATTCATAAATGTCATCAGCATATTAAACTTCTAGAAGTAAAATTCTTGGGTCAAAAGATATATGTACTTTTTGATAATATTACCCCACCAAGGAGGTAATATGAATTTTTACTCCAACTAATATGTAAGAAGTGACTGTTTCCACACATCCTTATTAATATATACAATTTCTTTATGGAATTTTCAGTTAAATTTACCCTTTTCAGGTGTAAATTTTGATGAATTTTAATAAATATGTATAGTTATCTAACCAAAAGTATTCTACTCCAAGAGTATTCTGTCATCTCAAAAAGTTTCCTTGTGGCCCTTTGTAGTTGACTTTCTGTCTCTGCACTTTTGCTCACTGATTTAATTTTTTGTCCTTAGCTGTGCCTCTTCCGGAATAGCATATAAATGAAATCATATAGTACATAGCCTTTTGAGTCTGCCTTCTGTCATTTAGCATAAGGCTTTTGAGTTTCATCCATCTCATTGCATTTATCAGTAGTTTATGCCCTTTCCATTGCTGAGTAGAATGCCATCATATGGTTTTATTACAATTTTGGTACATTCAGTAGTTGGTGAGCATTTGGATTATTTTGAGTTTTTGATAATGAATAATGCTATTAGAAATATAGGTACAGTTTTTGTGGAGACAGGTCTTTGTCTTAATTCTTCTTGGGCAAATACTTAAGAGTGGGATTGCTTGGTTATAGGATAAGTATATGTTTAACTTCATAAGAAACTGCCAAACTCTTTGAAAAGTGTCTGTGCCATTTTACATTCTTAACAGCAATGTAAAAGAGTTCCAGTTGCCCTGCATACTTGTCAACATTTGGTAGTGTCAATATTTTTATTTTGGCTGTTCTAATATGTATGTAATATTATTACATATTTATCAAACTTTTAAGATTTGCTATTCTGAGAAGTAATAAAAGGGAATTTAAGGGGGAAAAAGGGGTGGGGTTTGGAGAAGCAAATATGAAGAACACAGGGATGAGAACCTGGGGGGTGGAAATGGGAGGGAGGTGGGGACCATGGGGTGGGGGGGCCGGGATGGGAGAAACAGGCAAAAAACTGTACTTGAAAAATAACTAAATAAAATTATTGAGAAAAAAGAAGTAATAAAAGTATCTTATTATTTTTCATTTATATTTCTTTAATTAAGGTTAATTAGAATACATTTAATATATTGAGAATATATATATTTCTTCTTTTGAATCATCTATTCATATGCTTTGTCCATTTTTCTATTAAGTGGGTTGATCATTTTCTTAATGTGTTTTAATGACTATATATATTAAGGAAACCAAGTATTTCATGGTTGTAAACATTTTCCCCAGTTCGTCATTTTTTATTTTGTTTATGCCATTTTTATGGAATATTTGTATGTTGCAGGAATATTTTTATGTTGCTTCTGACTTTTGTACCTTATGGATACAAAAATGGGCAGGTAGAAATGAGAGGACTTATGAATGTAAGATATAGAACACAGTGAACTGTAAGGCTAGGTGATCTGGGTGGGTCAGTTCACTCCCTCCACACCATGACCCCCACACCAGTGATATATGGTCATACAGATTTTCTCAGTCTTTCTCATTGGCTACAAATAACCAAGGCTTGTTGAGAAATGCAGCTGCTTTGAGAAATTGTAGAGTCCCCAGGGCATAATTCTTCAATTTCAGATGTGGAAGGGGATTCATTTAGTGGAAGCAATGTGCTTACTGCAGAGACCATCAATACATGAGATTGTTACACTTGTTGGCTGGGACACAGGGAATTCCTGTCTGCAGTCTCAGTGATATCACTTCAACGGAAACAACCCTCCTCCTTGCCAACCCTATATTTGAATATGGGATTCCACAATGCCCACAAAGACTTATTGTGCTCCATGCAATCTATGTCCAAAAGAATTTAGGAGAGGCCAAAGGGTGTGGATGAGGAGGTAGATGGTATGGTGGGAGGAAGTGAGGAGGAAAGCAAGGGAAGGGGAATCTTTTGCTTCCTTATTTCCCACAGATAGAGCCCATGTTGGCATTTGATTTTTGCAGTCATTAACGTTTTTAGAGTCAGTCACACCAAGTGCAAAGTCAGTTACTTGCTGCTAATCTGAGAGGATTGCAACCCACAACAAGAACTATGGGGTAGGGAGCATGGGGATTGGCAGGAAGAGCTTGTTTCCCCACCCCCGAACCCTTCTCCTGTTTCCACTTCCTGTGTCCCACCCAAAGCTGAGTCTCTGAGGCATTCACCCAGGATCACCTAGGCTATTTTAAGGTAAATGCACTCCTTTTCTTACCAAAGAGCTGTGAACCAAGAATAATCAGCTAATCAACATTTGAAAGAGTAGAAATAAAAGATCATAAGTAATGCAAATAACTTCCTTTGAAGTCTGTGGTTCAAAAAATCAGTGAGCTAGGACATGGGTTATTTACTCAATTACCTATCTTTCTACTTCTCTTTTCATTTCCCTAAACACACATCTTTCTTCTGCTCTTCTTATTCTCTGTCATTCCTATGTCCCTCTTGCTTTCCCTCCATCTTCTTTGAATTTTGCTCTTTAACTAATTGGTCATCACTGAGGCCTTGAAGTTCGTTTTTAGCATTTGTATATTTATTGACATTGCACTGACTTCCTTGATTTAAAAACAGGCAAGAAAAACCCCCAACCAAATTAAACTGCTTTATCTTCAAACTCAACTCTGGATTTATTAATTGGGAAAAAATGGGGTTGGGAATATATGAAATAGACTAAGATCTTCTCATTGCCATCTGGGTGAGTTCTTTTGTGTCAGGTCGACTGAAAAGGAATGAACCTGAGTAATTTCTACATGTCTCTAATGCAGGGCCATGGATGAAGCAATGGAATGGAGAGACTAGGATCAAATCCTTGCACTGCCATTTGCAAGAGTTATGACTTTGAGCAAGTCCTCAAACTCCCTGAGAATCATAATTTCCACCTCGGCCACCTAGCTGTCAGCTTGTGACTCTCAGGGACCAATCACTTTTATATTTTTAAAGGTATGACATTGTCTGGTATCATTATTGACAACAGTCCAGACAGCCCTTCCAGCCAAATCATCAAAGCCTATCACTTTTCATTTCTGGGTGATGAGATTGACTTTCACATATAGCATTAGTACCATGTACCAGGCACTGCAGTGAGCCACAGTTATATGGTATAGGGTAGCATGATGGTGAAACGCTTAGCCTCTGGACCCAGGATGCCCAGGACCCCAACATTTACATCTGTGCAATTTTGGGCAACTTAACCTCTGTGTGACTCCATTTACTAATCTGTAAAATGATAATAATAATAATAGTACCTGTAATTATGACCTTATTTAGAAGTAGGGTCTCTGCAAATATAATTAAAAATCTTAAAATGAGATAATTCTGGATTTAAGGTGGGTCCTAAATCCAATGACTGCTGTCCTGATAAGTCAAAGGAGAGAGAAAAAGGCCATGTGCAAACAGAAGCAGAGACTAAAGTGAGAGACCCACAAGCCAAGGAGCTCCAAGAGCCAGCAGAAGGTAGAAGAGGCAAGAAAGGAATCTTCTTCAGAGCCTTTGGCCCTGTTAACACCTGGACTTTTGGCCTCCAAATTGTGAGAGAATAAATTTCTGTTAAATCACTACCAAGTTTGTGGTAATTTGTTGTGGCAGTCCTGGGAAACTGATATAGATAATAGTACATTACCGCATAGGGTTGTAGTGAGGGTTATATTAGTTGCTATATTTAAAGTGCTAAGAGCAGAATTTGGAATACAGTGAAGGCTCTAAGCATAGGCTGTTATGTATTGTTAGTTCGTTGAATGTGACTTAGCAACCCTATGATGTAGGTACTATTAGGATTCCCATTTTGCACACGAGGAACAAGACAGAGCAAAGGTGAACTTGTCTGGGCTCTGCTTTCACTTGAGCCACCCCTCAGAAGTCTATGGAATCTGACTTTATGCTGTTGGATACTGGTGACTGTTGGCTTGGTAACTCCTCATGATAATGCTCACTCAGTCAACGTTCTTTAGTCATGAGCTGCCAAGATCACAAGGTATAGAGAAGACCTTCATGTGATGGTGTTTACTCCTTCTTGTTGCATCTTCCCAGCCTTGGTCTTGGCACAAGCTTTATTCTAACAGAGCCAGGACTTCAAACTTGGCTGTGTGGTTGTCTCATGACCTGACCTCATTGAAGTGCCTTTAGTACCTCCTCACAAGAGGCAGGGATGTGCTGTCTAAAAAGCCACACCCTCCCTTCTCTGAGGACTTTAAAGGCCCCAATGCTGGTGCTTCATGTGGATTATACAAATGACTAGAAGTAAGTCATAGCATTTTAGGTAAAGGAAAAACTCTCACTGGAACCTGCAAAGTCTTACAAGCAAGGCAACTAACTACCTCCTTGACCATCTCTTACTGTTCTCCCCTCATCACTCTTCTGGCCACATTGGACTCCTGGTCAGGCATTGTCCCATTTAAGGGCCTTTGCACATGCAGTTCTGGTTGCCTTATATGCTCTTGCCCTAGAGGTATACATGCATTCTTCTTATACTCAATATCACCATCTCAGAGAAGCCTTTCCTAACTACCCTATCCTTGCTTTTCACTTTTCCTTTCTTTCCTTCCTTAATAGTTATAATTATGTAACATACTATAAATTTTACTTATTTATCTTGCGCATTATCTTTTCCCCCAAACTAAAATATAGCACCATGAAAATGGGGTCATTTATCTGTTTTGTTCACTGCTGTAGCTCAGAGCCTAGGGCAGGTCTAGTGCATGGCATAATACATCTAACAAATAAATGTTGAATGACTAATTTAAAGAGTAAATGAAGCACAGCTCTCTCCCCCAACAACAGCTATAGTACTCCCAAACTGAAATGGGTCAATCCATTAAATATCTAGGGATAGCACAGGACAAAATGACTACCAGAAGAACAATTGAGCTCTGAAGCACACTGAGGGGAGCACATCCTCCTATTGAGGCTGATTTTGAAGGAGACAAGGAAAAGACTTAGTGAAGAAAGAAAGACATTAAATTCCAAGAGAAGGAAATCTTAGAAATTTCCAGGAAAAGTCAGAAGCCAAAATTCATCTATTCATTCAACTGGGAATACAGCAATGAACAAGCTGGGGGGGGGGGGAAGTCCCTTCACTCAGAGAACTTACATTCTACTGGTCATAATGTTAAGCATTATGATCTTTGAAACAAATATCTGTTTATTGGAATTGTGAGATGGGAAGAGCTTAAATTTCCAAAGGGCTGAGAGATCTAGGTAGACCAGCGTAGCTTTCACCTGGAAGTAAGAAGCTACCTTAAATTCTTGATCAGGAAGAGCTCCGGCAATGTCAGGTATGGAAGGTTTCTGCAGCCACACAAGGTATGGATTCTGATAGGAAAAAGATTTAGAAAGGGGGTGGGGCATATCTGAAAGGGCCATTGTAGAAGAGGTGGGGACAGGAACAGGATTGGATAGCATTGTAGAAGATGATGGGTCTAAGGCAGCTGGAATGAAGTGACTGAGAAAGACCTTAAAGCCCTAGTGTGAGAATAATTTAAATATGTCACCAAGAAGAACTCCTTGATGGAGAGGAAGGGAGATGGCAGAGATGGTGTGGAGACTTTGACTCTGGGAACTGGGGGAATAGCAAGGCCAGTTTAGGACCAGTTTCCTGAGCTTCAGTGATGGTTCCATCACTGGGCTGTGTAAACATAGGGAGGTCCATAGCGCCGCACTGTTTATTCACCAGTCCTTGTCTATGTTTGCTGTCTTGTTCTCTATGTGACAAGCCAAGATTAGTCTGGATGTGACCCATCAGAAACTGGAAACAATTTGAATCTAGTGAGTCACACTGGATCTGCAGAACTGGAAATGCAAAACTTTTGTTTTTGCCTGAGACCCACCACGTCTGGCCAACACCCCAAATCTTATTATTAATGGAGTAAAATTTTAAGATATCTTTGGTATCATGAAGTTAAGATGCTGAGGTTTCTCTGTACAGAATTTTGACTGAGCACAAAATTAAATAATTCTGATCTTCACTTTGATAGTATACTAACTTCACTGTAATAGGATGATACTGTTTCTGCAAGAATCAAAATCCTTTTTTTTTTTCCTGCCTTTGACATAGCTACTTGTATTGAAATCAGTCTGTGTCTACTCAAAGCCTGGGTTTTCTTCAATTTTGTTTCTCTGTTAAATGAAGAGTTGAAACGTCTACCTATTCTCTTACTTTAAACAGAAAATCCTTCTCATTTGTCACAGGAAAAGAAAAAAAATGGAAGGGAAGAGGTAGTCTTGAATTCTCCAGAATAATGAGACAGTTCAAAGGAAAACAAAACACTTTGCCATAAGATACTTTTGATAAAAATATTTCTTGAAATCATTTTCCATTGTATGATAGAAACCACATTGCTGTAATCCACAAGGCAAATGAAGGGCTTTTCAGGGGGCAGACAGTCACTGTGAAATTTCCATAATAGAACTTGGCTGTAGCAGGCATGGCATTTGAAGGAGCACTGGGGGGTCCAAGAAGAGGAGGTAGTCACCTGAGTGGTTCAGTTTTCATAAGTCCACCTGGACCCCCATGTCTAGCATTACCTGCCATAGGCCATAGAAAACAGTATTTTAATTACTTCTCTCTGGGTAATCTAGTCAGTTACAAGAAAAACAAACTTGACTATTATTTTTTTGTTACTAAAACTTTTGAAAATTGCATATGAAAAATTCCTAAACTTTCTCTCTGATCCAAGTCTTTTCTTATCAATTTTTTAATAAGGAGAATTTAATGAAGGGCTTGAGTATATTCTAATAATTTGGATATCATTGCAAAGGCAAGGCAAATGTGGAAAACTATATTTTCAACTGTTCAGGGATAATAATGAATTAGTAAATATTCTTATTAGGAAAAGGAAGAAACCTGGCTGTTTCCCACCTCAGAATGTTTGCTGTTGCTGTTCCCTCTTCCTGAATGTTCTTACTCTGTCTCATAGCTGGTGTTTAGTCATCGCCTAGGTCTGGGCTCAAATGTTACCTTCTCAGAGAGGTGTTCCTAACTTTCAGTTGAATCATTCCCCCCAACTCAGCTTACAAGTTACTACATAACATTCCTTGGTTTTAACTTCTTCTTAGTGTTTATCATGACCTGAAGTCACTTATTTACGTACTACTTTCCTGGTTTATCTATCTCCCCAACTAGATTGTGAACTCTAAAGAATAGGAACCTTATTGGTCTTTTTCACTGAGTACTAAGATTAGTGCCCAGAGAGATGCAGAAGAAAAATGAGATGGCAAAATTCTCATCCTTATGCAAACACAAAAATTAAATAAGTAGACCTTTTTGAACAGCCGGAAGAGGGTAAAGCACTCAAAGTTCCCGTACAGTAGAAACACTGCTGCAGTATGCTGCCATTGGATACTAGATTTGTAATTGTTCATCCAAAGCCTGTGCTTGCTATAAGCTGTTTGTCAGTATCACAACTTTGGGAACCCTGAGGTAGGTAGTAAGTACTTAAGGGGCTCTCTTCCAGATCCAGAGCCCTGGCATCAAACAGGACATTTCTGCCACACCAGTTGTATCAGGATGTTCTGACTTCAAGATATTAAAATCCTAACTTCAACTGGATCTAACCATAAGTTTTAAAAAATATTTTATTGATTATGCTATTAGAGTTGTCCCATTTTTCTCTCCTCTTTATTCCCCTCTTCCCTGCAGCTCCCCTTCCCACTCTAATTCCCCTACCTTAGTTCATGTCCATGGGTCATACATATAAGGTTTTTGGCTTTTCCATTCCCTATACTATTCTTAACCTTCCCCTGTCTATATGTACCTACCATTTATGCTTCTTATTCTCTATACCTTTTATCCCACCCTCTCCATCCCCCTCCCCACTGATAACCCTCCACATGATCAATTTCTGTGATTCTGCTCCTGTTCTAGTTTTTTGCTTAGTTCATTTTTATTTTTGTTTTTATTTTTTTAGGTTTGGTTGTTGATAGTTGTGAGTTTCTTGTCCTTTTACTGTTCATATTTTTGATAATCTTATTTTTCTTAGATAAGTTCCTTTAACATTTCATATAATAAGGGCTTGGTGATAATGAACTCCTTTAACTTGATCTTATCTGGGAAGCACTTGATCTGCCCTACCATTCTAAATGATAGCTTTGCTGAATAGAGTAATTTTGGATGTAGGTCCTTGTCTTTCATGATCTTGAATACTTCTTTCCAGCCCTTTCTTGCATATAAGGTTTCTTTTGAGAAATCAGCTGATAGTCTTGTGGGAATTCTTTTGTAGGTAACTCTTTTCTCTAGCTACTTTTAAGATTCTCTCCTTATCTTTCATATTGGGTAATGTAATTATGATGCGCCTTGGTGTGTGCTTCCTTGGGTCCAACTTCTTTAGGACTCTCTAAGCTTCCTGGACTTTCTGTAAGTCTATTTCCTTTGCCAGATTAGGGAAGTTTCCCTTTATTATTTTTTCAAAACAGTATAAGTTTTATGGAAATATTGGATCAGGGTTTGTTGTTTCAGGAGCTCAAAATGCCATCAAGGACTCATTCTCTTCACTTCTGCCCTGCCATCATTCAATATCATCCCATTCAGGTATGACAGTGTCTGAGGAAGAAGAGAGAATGCTTTTTTTCCTTTCCTAGATTTGCCACAGCAGACTGCCTCCAGAATCTCATGGGCCATTTGGGGTACATACACATTGTTGAACCAATCACTGGTGAGGGAGTGAGATTATGTAGATCAGTCTTATCCCTGAGTTTGGTGTTATCCCTTTCCCATGAGGTGTTTGGCTTGCTTGGAGGAGTAGCAGGGATCTGAACAAAACTGAGGTTCTTTGGGGAGTGGAAAAGGTGGAAAGTGTGGTATACTTCTTCTGTTGTTCTTTTGTTTGGAAGCAGTAGATAATTGTGTTGCTAAAACTTTCCCCCCTAAGTTTATACTGTTTTATCTGATGGGTAAGCACTGGTTCAAGATTCTAGAAGTTGACCTTGTGCCCTGTTAGTGGAATTGCAAATTGGTGTGGCCACCATGGAGAACAGTATGGAGGTTCCTCAAAACATTAAAAATAGAACTATCTTACTGAGCCAGCAATTCCACTTCTGGGTACTTATGCAAAGAAATCCATTAATTCAGAAAGATATGTGGACCCCTATGTTCATTGCAACATTAGTTACAATAGCCAACTATGGGAGCAACTTAAGTGCCCATCAATAAATGACTAAATAAAGAAGAGATGGTATATACTACAATGGAATATTACTTGGCCATAAAAAGAATGAAATCTTATCATTTGTGACAACATGGGTGGGTATAGAGGGTATTATGCTTAGTGAAATAAGTTAGAGACAAATACTGTATGATTGCACCTATTTCTGAGATCTAAAGAACAAAAGAAATGAACAAACGAAACTGAAACAAAAGCATAGATATAAAGGCCAAACTGATGGCTGCCAGATGGGAGGGGGCTAGTTAAAAAACTAGCAATTTGTACTTCTTAATTCCTTCATAGCAGCACAATTTACAATAGCCAAGAGTTGGAAGCAACCTAGATGCCCATCAGTAAATGAATGGATCAAAAAATTGTGGTACATATACACGATGGAATTCTATGCAGCAGAGAGAAAGAAGGAGCTACTATCCCTTTGCAACAACGTGTATGGAACTGGAAAGCATTATGCTGAGTGAAATAGGCCAGGCGGTGAAAGACAAATACCATATGATCTCACCTTTAACAGGAAGGTAAACAACAAAACAAACAAGCAAGCAGAATAAAAACAAAGACACTGAAATAGAGAACAAGGGGACAGTGACCAGAGGGGAGAGGGAAGGGAATTTAAGGGGGAAAAGGGGAGGGATTTGGAGGAACAAATATGAAGGACACAGGGAAGAGAACTAAGGGGGGTGGAAATGGGAGGGAGGTGGGGAGCACTGGGCGGGGGAGGCTGGGATGGGAGAAATAGACAAAAAACTGTACTTGAAAAATAACTAAATAAAAAAATATGGAAGAAAAAATTTGGAACACAAATAAATACTCCAATAACTAATAAATAATAATGCAAGAATAAAAAATATTCATTTTCTAATAACTCAGCTTCAGTAGTCAATCACTCATTAAATTATGTTATTGACATCATACTCATGTCAGATATGTGCTCATGCTCCTCATGATGTATAATACATGTCCTACATAGTATATGTTAATATCTATTGACTGATTAATAAAGATTGAGGTTATCATTTTTAACCAAAAAAAAAACCAAACAGTCACAGGGGTGTAAAGTACAGTATAAGGAATATAGTCAATAATACTCTAATGACTATGTATAATGCCAGGTGGGTACTTCAAATATAGGAAGGATCACTTTGTAAATTATATAGATGTCCGATGACTATGCTGCATACCTGAAACTAACATAAAATAATATTGAATGTCAATTATAATTGAAAAAATGATTCTAGAGGTTAATGCAGATTGGAGACCCTATAGTTACTATCATTTGTGTTAAGTCCAAGCCTCTGCTCAAGAGCTTGAGGTGGGGCACCAATCTCAGTGTACGGATGCTGCTGCTGACCAAGAGGGGACAAGGAGGGGATGCTTGGGCTCCCTTTTCCAGCTGTTTCAATACCATGCCTTGTCCTTAGAGAAGTGCAATCTATCCTGGAGAACCCATTTTACTTCCACGTGTCTTTATTACTTTATTTTAGCTTGCTTTTACAAAGCCTAAAAAATGTTTGGGGATAGTTTGGGAATCTGGAGAGGAAGAGAGTGAATTGTCAGAGTGGAGGGAATGGGGCAATGATTCCCTGTTTCCCTATACTATATGCTATTCATTCTGATCAAAGTAACTTTTGCCTTTTATATAATTCTGCAGCTTTTCATGTCCCACAACAAGGTGAAATTAAGAACAGAACAGATAACAAGAATGATGAAACAATCAAAACCTTACAGCCTCTACATTATTATTAATTAATATATAAATGTGGTGGAAATGCAAGGGGTGTGTTAGCCATGAAATGTCATGTAGTTGTGGGACTTTGGTGTTTGATGATGTATTCTGAATACTTTTTCACATCTTAAACATTTTGTGGTAGATTTTAATAACGAGGAGGGCATCCTTGCTTTTTGTTATTTGTTATTTGTACCTTGTTAGTCTCACATGACTTATTAAACAAACTGTCAGCGTGGGATTCTTCCCTCTCCTCACTCCATACCTGATCACAGATCTAATTCTGCCCATTTTCCTCATGACAGCCACTAGCTCAGTCTTGGCACTTGCCTCATCATGTTACAGACAAAGCCTTTTGTTTCTGAATTATCACTGAATTACTTTGCAGGTGCCTCATGGATAAGGATTCTTTTATCTGTCTTTGATGTCTCTGGGTAGATACTAGACCATATAGAAAGGGGAGGAAAATCAATGTCTGTTGATTTCTTATTGACATTTTCTGTTTTGCTTTTGGTTTTAGATTCTGGGCTGAAGGGATTTTGTTCCAGAAATATACTGATCATCCTTGGCTTCTCCTTTATCATGGCTGTCATAGCTCTGATCGCTGTGGGGCTGACCCAGAACAAAGCATTACCAGAAAATGTTAAGGTAACTCAACTCTGTGTGCGTTTATGAGGAGGCATGAGCAGAGGGAAAAGGGAGGTTATGGTAAAGCAGAGTACAGGAGGAGCTGAGGTTCTGGAAGCCCAGGAGAGCAAGTCACTATTAGATTAAGAAAGTAAAATGGAAACGGATGCTCATCGGGAAGAGGGAATGCCTTGAATCGATTAACAATGGGAAGACAACTGTCTTTATGATTGTTCAGCAAATTAATTAAATAAATACCAGAGACAAAGGCTTGGTTCACCACATCCATATTAGTGCTATACTGTGCTGATATTCTGCTATCTGGTGCCATCTCTACGTCTTACTCTTTGTTTCCCTGTGGATGTATCGAAACACTGTACTCTTTGTTCTTCTCACTCCATCATCATTACTATCACCAAAATAATTGGAAAGCTCTGAATGAAGCACTTTGGGAGTCAAAGATTGTGGGGAAGACTTGTTTCTCATCTCCAAAATATCGAAGAGCACAGCAAAATCAATTTTTAAAAAAACACAGAGAAACAAGTATCAGCTATAGTAATTTGAAATGAATTCATGAATGGACAGATTTCTTATGAAATTTCCACATTTGAAGAGCCAGTTAATATTACTGAAAACAATTAGGGTCATTAACTCTGCTGTGATTTGTTTCTCCTTCCTTTCAAATTCATGAAGGTAAAATTTCAAAGACATGCATATCTCACAAGACCTTGTAATATGGTCAGTATTTTATTTAATCTATTAATTAGAAAGCATGTGGTAAATTTAAATTTATGTTGTAAATACATCATTTTAATCTTTCATTGAAATTACAGAAAATAAATCTACAAAGATATATCCAGAATATACTGATATATTATTGAGCACATATGTACATGTGGGTGGTGATGTAGTCAGAAGTTAACTTGACAGTGGTGGCCCTAGAATACATGTGCAGAAGTATATTTTCTTATATTTGAAGATAGTAAACTGTGATCCTGGAAATATAGATGCATATTCCAGGCTGCTGAAACTTTTACCACTCACCCAAATCACTTGCTGTATAGCAGAAGCCTGGATGTTATACTGGCATCTGTTTGCCATACAAATTCAAATCAACTGGGACTGTGCACAGCAGTTCCTTTGTCCACACGGAAGGCTGACACCATCTCATTGGCAATGGTCTCTTGCCTTTTAATGTTGAGTGAGGTCGGCTCTCTTGGCAAAACTTCACTCACAGTCGAAGCCTCATGACATCTCAGTGCGGTTATTTGTTTACCAGTTCCAAAAGTACATGATTGCTTTCTTGATTTGACCTTTTTACATGTTTATTATTGCATCATTGAAGGGGGGATTGCCTAGGAGGCAAAATCCATGGCAGACTTGATTTGTGTGTTCCTAATTAATACTTGCCATGAATGACCTTCTTTCATTCTCAGTAGTCATCTTAAAGTCTACTGTGATTAATACTGTTGCGTTGGCCTGGCAAAATGGAACAGGGTCTTTGGCATTTTTTAAAAATAAAAGGTATGAGTATTGAAGAGCAGATGTTGGCGTCTGAAGTGAATCTTTATAGCAATATCACTAGTTTCTTCAAGATAATTTTATATATGCAAATGAGCCACTTGTTGAGGTTATACACTCATTTTAATAAGATCCTTGGCATATATTGAGGGCAAGAATATTTTAGGAACTTGTCTTTGGTGATGGCTTTAAGCAATGTATGCTGTCTAATTTGATAGTCACTAGCCACATGCAGCTCATCAGATTCAATGTTCTTCACTTGCACTAACCACATTTCAAGTGCCCAATAGTCTCCTGTGGCTGGTGGCTACTAAACCGGACAGTGCAGACACAGAACGTTCCCATTGCTGCACGAACTTCTATTGTACATTGCTGCTTTAGAACTTACTCTATGGTAATATCTCGGAAATCATCATTCAGAACTAAGTTTGATGAGGAGGTTACATGACAAAACATGTTTAAAATCTAAAATTAGGACCAATAAATGAGACTTTTTTCTTGCATGGTTTGTAAATTAATACCAAATATCATGAGCCACTGAATTATTTTGAGTAGTTTGTTGGAATAAATATATGTCCTTCCAAAAATTATGATTTAAATATAACATATTTATATATTTGTACCTGATACATTTGTTTTAAAAGACATCATTTCTAAAATAAAAAAATAAAAAACAATTAAAATTTAAAAAATATAAAAACCCCCACATCATTTCTTTATGACCATACCTCATTCAGCATCTCTTTATTCATTTGTTCACAAATTTATATATCAATAATTATTATTTAAGTGTTTAAGTATCTATGTCAGGCACTGGGTTACACAATTGGGAAGCCAGTACAATTATGACTGAGCTTATCATCTGGGGCAGGAAAAACATTTAATAGTTGACACAAACTACTAATTACAATTGTGATGAGTGCCACCAAATGTAAGTTCTGGGGGCCAGGGAAGTTTTCTTGGGAAAAAAAATGACATTAACAATAATATCTGAAGGATTTTTAGGGGGTAGCTGAGAAAGAGCTGGGTAAAGAGTATTCTAGGCAGAAGGAAAGCAAGTGCAAGAATCTCACAGCAGGAGATAGTTGGATACCTACCAGAAACTGGCTGGACAGTGAGAATAAAGATGGATAAAGATGGATGAGAGAGGTGGTGTGGGCAGGGCCTTGCAAGTCAGGTTGAGGATTTTAGTTTTAATCCTAAACCAATGGGAAGTCAATGACATGGTCAGATTTGTGTTTTGAAAAGATCACTCTGTCTGCAATGAATTGGTGGCAGGAAGGATAAGAGCAGATTTAGGAGATTAGGTTAGAGGTTATTACAGAAGTTTGGAAGGAGGGGAAGGTTTTGAGTTCAATTTTTGAAGAATTGTTTTGTAGGTATTGAGTATGAAAAGGGAAATGTCAAAGAAGCAGTTGGATATTCAGATCTGGACCTCAGAGGAGAGACCTGTACTACCGAATAGAAATGTCACAAGTCACATTTCAATTTTTCTAGTAGCCACATTTTTAAAAAGTGGAAGAAGTTAGTTCAGTTTGTTCATTAGATCCCATATATGAGTGAAATCATGTGGTATTTGTCTTTCTCTGACTGGTTTATTTCATTTAGCACAATGTTCTCCAGGTCCATCTAAACTAAAGGGTACAGTTTTCTTTTTTTTCACAACCAAGCAGTATTCCATTGTGTAAATGTCCCATAGTTGTTTTAGCCACACATCTACTATGGACACTTGGCTGCTTCCATATCTTGGTGTTTGTAAATAACACTGCAATGAACATAGGGGTGGTTATGTTCTTTCGAATTAGTGTTTTGCGTTCCTTTAAATATATTCCCAGAAGTGGATAGCTGGGTTGAAAGGCAGCTTCATTTTCAGAACTAATAAGGAAAATGGGGACAGACTCATAGATGGAGAGCAGAATGACAGCTGGTGCAGGGGAAGGTTAGGGAGTGAAGGGATTGAGCAAAAAGGAAAAAGGACTCATGGACATGGACAACATTATGGTGATTGCTGGAGGGAGGGGGGTATAATGAGACTAAACACTAATGGAAAAAATATACAATAAAAATTAAATTTTAAAAAGTAGAAGTAGAGGATGTATATTAATTTTAGTAATATATTTTATGTAACCTGATATATCCAAAATATAGGGGTGGGCAAAAGTAGGTAACAACATGATAAAGTATGCTTGAGTATAGCAACTAGACTATAATATGTATAAATAATGAAGGCTGGCAATTTGAGCATTGAAGAGATTGTACCTAAATTCACTGTGCCATTGTGCCATTCTCTTGAGTTAATGAAGCTACTATAATAATCATAACCTTCATGTCTTTTTCCACATGAACAACTTTAAACCTACTTTGTCCATCCCATGTTATTATTTCAACATTTCATCACAATAAAGAGTTATTAATGAGATATTTTACATTCTTTTTAAAATTGTTGTTCAAGTACAGTTGTCTCCACTTTTACCCTACCATGCCCACCCCACCCCACCCATCCCCACCTCCCACTCTCAAACCTGCCCCATTTGGCTTTGTCTATGTGTCCTTTATATGTGCTCCTTGATAGCCCTCCAACTATTATCCCTCTCCCCCCTCCTCTTTGATAACTGTCAGTCTGTTCTTTATTTCAGTATCTCTGGTTGTATTTTGTTTGCTTGTTTGGTTGATTAGCTTCCAGTTATAGGTGAGATCGTATGGTATTTATTTCTCTTTCACTGCCTGGCTTATTTCACTCAGCATAATGCTTTCCACTTCCATCCATGCTATTGTGAAAGATAGGAGCTCCTCCTTTCTTTTTATATTCTTTCTTTTAGACTATCTCAAATTCCACCATGATTTTCCTCTTATAGCAGATCTCAGTTACCACTAATCACATTTCCAGTGCTCAGTAGCCACTTGTGGCTAGTGGCTACCTTATTTGATAGCATAGGTCTAGACTAAAGATATATCTCTGATGTCATTGATGTGTTGTAGCCTTAAGAGTGGTTAAGATCATAGGAATGGAGTAAAAAGTGAGAAAAGAAGAGGGTAAGGACCAAATCCTGAGGAATTCTATAATTGAGAGGGTAATTAGTAAAATAATTCCTTCTAAACCATAGTGATAACATTGCTTTATATGGTGCTTAATAGTTCATGAATTATTTCCGTGCTCTTAGTTCAATTTCTTCTTCCCATCAGTGTTGTGAACAATGAAAGATTATCCTCATTTTATTTTATTTTTTATCCTCATTTTATACATAGCAAAATGAGAGTCTTGAAAGTTGTTTAAGGTGGAAGTGGGGCTAAGTTTTCTGATCCAGAGATTAATGTTCTTTCCATTTATCTTAGTTTTGCCAAACAATACATCTTAAAAACAGGAATTGAATGCAGGATGTTTATATTGGGAAATAATCCCCAGCAAACAGGGAAGGAGAGAAGGCTACCCAAAAAGTGTATTATGAGGGTATCACCACATTGGGCACCTGCTTGATCCTACCAGGACCCTCAGAAGAGCT